TTTTTAGGGTGAAGAAACAGTGGAAGTAATTTCAGCCAAGATACTCTAATAGTTTTGTAGTAAAAAAATATTTTCTCGGGAGAATATTTTTTTTTGTTTAAAAACCTGAATCTCATCTCCTAGACATACGAACATGCTGAAATTTTCCTTAAAACTTCTTTTTAGGGTAAAGAAATAGTGGAAGTAATTTCTGCCAAGATACTTTAATAGTTTAGTTGTAAAAAAATAATTTCTCAGTAGAATATTTTTTTTTTGTTTAAAAAGCGGTATCTCATCTCCTAGACATACGAAATTGCTGAAATGTTCCTCAATACTTCTTTTTAGGGTGAAGAAATAGTGGAAGTAATTTCAGCCAAGATACTCTAATAGTTTAGTTGTAAAAAAATATTTTCTCTCAGGAGAAAGATTATTTATTTTTTAAAAAAGCTTTATCTCATCTCCTACACATACGAAATTGATGAAATTTTTCCCAGAACTTCTTTTTAGGGTGAAGAAATAGTGGGTGTAATTTCAGCCAAGATACTCTAATACTTTAGTTGAAAAAAAAAAAAATTGTCTCAAGAGAATGTCGGCTGCTAGTTTCAGTTTCATAAGCCACATTTACCTTTTTTTCTAAGTGTTGAGCCCATACTATTTTTTATTTACCAAGATCTCAAAACAAACACAAATGGCGAGACATATGTCATTTTGACAATAGTACCAACGTTTTGAATTTATTCATACTGCCCGGTCCAAGCGATAAATTCAAGCTATCTCAAACACTGACTTATTACATGGACCACGAGCCGTCCGGCATTATTAATAATGGCCGGGCAATGTGATAAATAGGTGAGTTTAGATTGTAATTAATCACTTGGCCCGATATGGCTGGGCATTATTCATACTGCCCTGGCATTATGAAAACTGCCCGCATTAATCACTTGGCCCTTAACATATATATCAAAATTCAACTTGATCGATTCCGAGAAAAAAATAACCCAACTATTGCAAAATACAAACATTAAAGTGTACGATTGATCTGTACCAATTGTCTGTATTGATCTTAACTCTTACACTCTGACACGAGATCAATATATCTAATTACTAGACGTGCCCTGCGGTTTCACCCTCATTAATTTGAGGAAAAAAGTTATAGTAGGTCACCCTTAAAGGATAGAGATATGCTGTCCGAGCCTTTTTATAGAACTTTTAAAAAGGAACAATTCCGTCATACATAGTTTGAGTGCATTTTTTACAGTATACGCACCGCGCGCAACGGAAGTTTAGCAATGTAATATTTTTGACTGGTTTTTGCAACATTTTTCATTGGTGCTCTGCTCCTATTATTCCTAGGGCATTGTATATAGCCTTCCTTGATACATGTAATATCCAACAATTAAGATTTTTTTCAAATCGGACTAGTAGTTACTGAGATTAGCGCGTTCAACCAAACAAAATCATGATCTTTTTAATATTAATTAAATAAAGTATAAAGCATAGATTATTTACGGTCTGAAGCGAATTGGTATGAAATCACAAAATATTCGCTATGATCATATCACCCTAGGATTATGTGTGCCATGAACACACATATGGCTAAGATGAAATATAAGTACTTATAAAGAGTATAATAGTCAGTTAGTATACAGATAAAATAAGTACAATCATTCGTCATGGCAATAAAAATGAAGAAAGCAAATCACAACGCCTTTATATCGTATCCTGCCTGCATATTTTGTCCGAGTCATCAACAACTCAAATTGTCCAATTTCAACTCCTATCAAGTACAGAAAATTTTACATTTACATTTAAAGGAATAAACAAATGCCAACTCGCTTAATTAATAATAAAATAAATAAATAAATATTTCCAACACTCAAACCAATTAGCCTATCCCCAAAGTACTGTAAGGCTTGTGTTATGGTATACTAGGGTAACGGATAGAATACATGTACAGTACATATATAAGTATTATGTAGAAATACATATTTATGTGGGAGGCCTATGCTCAGCAGTGGGCGTCGTACGGCTGACGTGATGATTAAATATTTAACATCCATGACTGGAGTACAAATGCTCGTATTCAGCACACAAACATCTGCCCCCACCGGGATTCGAACCCGGGACCTCGAGTCCGCGATACCATGACCGTACAAACCACTTTTTCTTTGTAAGTAAATCCTTAAATTGCACATTTATCAGCTTGTTTACGGTATCATACCGCCTGAGAACTAAGAGGCTAATTAATCTTCGCTTATTATTCTTTAATGGCAATTCTTCAATGTTTTTTTGTCTGTATTCCTTCAGATCGATCGCAACGACGAATCGTTTACAATCAATGTATTGATCTCAACGATTTCCTTCAGACCGATCTCAACGACGAATCGTTTACGATCAATCGTTTCGTGTATGTAGTGGCATTCCTGAACGATCGATCGTTGACGATTTCCTTCAGATCGATCGCAACGACGAATCGTTCCGTATATGGGGCCCTTAATGGCTGGTTTACAATATCTTCATGTTTAGTAGAGTGCTTTAGAAGAGTATTTTAATAGAAACGTGTAAACGGCAGCTTCCAGTGACTCTCTTTAGTACGATTCCACTCGCCTTTCAACTAGAAACAAAATAGGATCGGTTTCTATTTCTGTTTCCAGTGGCACCCCTCCCGCGCCCGCTCATCCCCTCGCGCTTTACTATCCTTGCTACTCAGTGTGTAAACGGACAATTTAGTCAACAGTTTAGTAGAGTGCATTAGTGCAGGTGGACGCGTGCATAAATTAACATGGCGAAATGGTCAGAAGACACTACTCTGAAATTTGTGATTGTCATTCTCATTGAATCGCGATTCTCTTTGCGGTCTTCAATTTGTCTTCAATAGCTAATTCTTTTAGCAACAAGGCACTTGCTCCAACTGTGGGTCTACGACTACTCCATTTGCGCAACCATATACGTTTAGGTTTATTTAATTAAAAAAAAACTTCTTCTGTTTGTTCCATTACAATACCCAGTATATTGCGCAAAATAGCGCGTATTGCACGACGTTGCTCGGCCATCCTCGTGACGAAATGGCACTCTACTGGAATAAGTGTAAACGGCCACTGGAATGGCACCAACTCTACTAAAGCACTCGCCTGCTTTACTCTACTAAACACTAAGATAATGTAAACCAGCCATAACGAACACAAACAGCAAACGACACTAACAAGTAAACAGCTATTCAGACGCTTGTGTCGGTTGCTTGTGTCCGCTGTTTGCCGCCTTTTCGCCAAGCTTGTGGAGGCACCATAAAGGGAAAAGCTTTGAAAGAGGTTCGCTGACTTCTTTCTCTCTTTAAAAAAAAAGTTATATGCATTTATGCGGTCAATGATGACCTTCTTTAAGGTCCCCTTTGTCTTTGTGCCTAATTTCCTTAAATTAGGTTTAGAGATTTGGGAATACTTTGACATTGATAGTATTTTATATTTGAATTGAATTGATTTCAATAAAATAAAAAAAAATCCTAAACAATAATTACTAAAACACATAGTTGACATGTTCTGTACAAGTAATAGATCGAGTTGAGAATGTTGATTCTGGCGATGCGCCAATTATAAACGCGTTGACTAAATGGGATACCTCGGAACGTTATATTTATGAAACGGTCACATAGTGATAACCTCGTCGTAATAGAATAAAAAAAACTAGTTGCAATTAACCATGTCTTTCTATTTTCACATAACAATGTGGGAATAATTTGAGGATATGACAAGAAAGAATACTACTACCTTAATAGTATTATAAAATACTAGCAAACCAGTGAACCAAATGTTCACCAAAGCCTGATTTCTCGAAAACCGGAAGTGCTACGTTACTCAAATCCGGTTTGTAGTCTTATCAGACTATTCTTAACTTATAACTTAAATATTCTCTTTATCTATCTCTTACGGTTTGGCCGCAGAAACAGCACCACGGACAGACGGACTCGTCTAATAGATAAGAGATTAACTATTACTACGTACTACGTATTATTTTATTAACTGACGAACAAACAGAGAAGGTTATCAAGTCGACACGTATTTTTATGTATGGTCACGCATAACTTTTTACAGAGTAGTCCATTGTCTAGATGGGAAAATAGGGGTGATTGTTCACTCACAAATTTTGATGCAGGGTAATATATTGCAAAAATTTAGCCACAAAAAAATAAAAACCTCTTAACCAAAAATTAACTCGACAGAAATACTAATGCAATTGTCGATTTGCTCATGATACTTTTCTGATATTATACTGAAAAACTTGATCTATATTTAGAGTAATAGGATACCCTATACAAACAACAAATAAAATCTTTTTAACAAAAAAAAAAAAACACAGAAAGAACTAAAAAGCCAAAAACAATAAACCTTTTTTCTTTAAACAAATTAATATTTGGAGACGGTGCCATGCATGTCTGATAGATTTGAGTTCCCATACTACTTGTGTTGGCGTGGCACTGACTCCAAATAAGGTGGGTGGACCATGGAAGACCATGCTCCTTTGAAGGCCAATTTAAAAAAAAAAACAATTATTGTCATGTGACGATAAGTTCTTCCCACTCACACTAAGCTCCATCAAATTCATGAACACAGACTGGCCGCCGCGAGTCGCTCGCGTCGGTGATTGCGGTCCCTTCCTTCGTAGACTTCGGTCGTCGACGGTATAATTTGTATTACTCTAAATATAGGTCTAATTTGTCACTATTGTATCAGTAAAGTATCATGAGCAAATCGACAATTGCTATTAATTGACCCGCCAAAGAGTTATGTTAGTATGAAGAAGAATGAAAATGTTGTTATGGTACATATGAATTAATTAATCGACCTTACATTCGTGCGTGTAATTGGGCATAACCGGTTTTAAACTTATATGGCAACACAATTTAAATATGAATTAGTCCATGAGTACTTTCTCAGTGTTAAATAGGCTTACTTGAACATCAGCACACATGCTTACACTTTTAAAATTTTGTTTTAATCTAAGTTTGAATTTTTTTTATCATACAGGTATAAGATACGAGTACGGCATCTTCGCGCAGAAGATAGAAAACGGTGAACAACAGGAGGAACCCGACGACTGGTTGCGTTATGGAAGCCCATGGGAGAAGGCGCGCCCTGAGTTCATGCTCCCCGTCAACTTCTACGGTCGTGTGGTTGATACACCGCAGGGGAAGAAGTGGGTTGACACTCAAGTAAGTAATAGTTATTTATGGAACTGTTGTATACAACCATGATATGAATCCTCTATTAAAGATTCTGAAACCATGGGGCGTTCTAAGTAAACTTAAAGTTAAATAAATAAAACAAGTTTCAACGGGCTAGATGCAATGATTTTATTTATTTATTAACGTTTCGCGTCCTTTGCAGGATGCGTTATCTGAATAATGATTTTTTATTCACTTTATTGACCTACCTTCGAAAGACTTATTGAGTGTTGAAAACCTAAAAAATAAATAACTTAAAAGTTCATGAAAAGTTTCGGCGCTGTGGTAGTGAAGCGCGAGTGAATGAATATGTTCTTTTTATTAAATTCATCACTGAAAATTGTGGCTGTCTGATGAGCAAGCCCTTGGCTCGGAAGGGATTTAAAAAGCCAAGGAGAGTTATTATAAAATTTACAAAAAAAAAAAGCAATTTTATGTTGGTTTATTGGATGTTTTATTTTTGGCAATAAGCTAACGGATTTAGAATCTTTAATAGCGGTTTTCAAGCATGGGTATAGATCAACGATATTAAATACCTGGGACACATTTGGAGCGCACGTGGTGTATCTAGACCACGTGCGCTCAAAATGTGTCCCAATCAAGAAGTGCTTGAACACGACTCAAGCACTTCTTGATTCACAGTCACGCGCGGACCGTTTAAAAGTCAACATGCCGCTGAGCTCCATGAAAACAGGCGAAAAAATACTTAGAGAATGTAAAATGTCGTTTTTTCGATAGGTATCTAATCAATGTTTGTTAATATAACGCATTTGAAGTAAATTTTGTTTTAATACTTACTATAAACTGATTTAATAGAAAATATTTGTGATATTCAAATGCATGGTCGATAATATACCCGTTTCTTTTCCTCGCGGACCGTACCTGCTATATTACTTACAACGCATTCAGAATTGCGCGTAGAGTCAAATAAATAAGGTCTTATTCTTCTGCATATAGCAATAAGTCGTAAAATATTACGAGCTTACATATCGGACTGTCGTAACTCTTTGGCGCGTGCGTTTTAAGTATGACCTTATACAGTATGTTTTAAAGGTGATTTTCAATGTTAAAATAATGCCTTATATTGTTTAGACTACGCGATCATCGGAGCTCCGTGGATCCTACAATTTACCTTGTGGACAGGTTTCGGGCATGATTTTGTTCGTGTTGGTGTCTAGGGTGTTTAATATCGTTGGTATAGATAAACTTCTTTTAAAATCTATTTTGCTTTTCACCAGGCAAAAATGTTTATTCATCTTATGCTAGCACTTCACATAGCTATTCGTTTTTGCTATTTGTAAAGAGAGCAGTTTATGAAAACAGAGACTGCTGCCAGAGATAATATGAAAGTACAGGAGATAGAAGATTCAAATATATTTGAGGTTTACATGAAAGTATGACAAACAATTAACAAGTTCTATCAATATTTATGCTTCTCGAAGTTTTTTAAAGTCGCCAAAAAGAGTAATTATTATTTTATTTATAAAAGGACTTCATTTACTATGTTCTCTAATATAAGGAGTCTTTGTTTTGGAGATTAGTTAAACATAACACTTAAGTCATTGACCTCAGATAAAGATGACAGTACCTATATGAAAATATTTGTAAATGCAAAGTAAAGTGGGGTTTACATTTATGTTTTTTCGAAAATTTCAATGACGATGCGTTTACTAATCGATAAGCTATCCATGAATAGATAATACAGATAATTAGACAGATATATAGTAGGTCATTATTATGAGCAATAAACATGACTTAAATGATTTAATTATTTTTTATATAATTAAACTACTTTTATGATTTAAATATAAAAGTTAATCATATTCTGTCAATGACCTTTTTGTAGGCATTATCAAGCTCTACAACGTTTCTCTAGAACTCAGTCATATATATCTCATAGTTAAGGCAGCGTTTTGCTACGCCTGTGCAAATCCGTCTGTCACGAAAAAGTATTTTCATTTTTCGCCTTCTACACTATCGCAGCTTTCTGTGGGTAAAAAATATTTCAAAATCTGTACCTCTAGCACGAACCATTATCGAATTCGAATTGTTTGCAAACTGAAATGTCAATGTCAAATTTTGTATGGAAACTTGAACAGCAGCGCCACAAAGTACGTAACGGGAACTAAACATCAGTACACATTTGACAATGACATTTCGGACTCGCAAACGATACGAATTCGATATTGGTTCGTGCTAGGGGTACTGTTCAGTAGATACTGAGATTACCCTTACAAGCAACCTTACAAACTTTTTCTCTTTAATATTAGTGTGGATTTTGGGGAGAAAAATATACATTATGTTCAACATCACGCACAGTAAGCAATTTGTGAACAAAATACTTGCAATGCACGATTATGTATGATGCATTCAACCTGATCCTGGGTAGACCAAGGGTCACGGGTCGGCACGGATATTTGTGAAATGGCATACATTCACGCAAGCATGAAAAACGCATACCACCACATGTTACCGTTGACGTATCGTGATATTGATTACACTGCTGACCTCCATAGTTTACATGATTAACATAGCATTTAACCCGCCGACGTTAATAAATATTTTCGAAGTCCGTTGTAGGTTAGTTACACATTTATCAACATGACGTCTAAGCATGCTTTACATGAAATAATCTCGGGAGAACCGTGTGACTAATAAGATAACACCTAGTAGCTATTATTATCTGGGCTTGGCAAATCAATTTACATTATGTTTATGTACTAAATTATTTTTTATAAATTATAAATGCTTTCAGGCCTTTAAAGTTTTATTAGTTCAAAACTACTTACTATTTATTGGTCCACTTACGGTTAGCTTCATGTGCTTAGTGTTACGATTGAGAAATTTGAAAAGTCCTGACAAAATTCCAGACAAAAATGCGGACATTTTCTACGGAATGGTAACCCTACATGTGCCGTTATATTATATTCTTCGATTAGAAACACTTTAATTACCTTTAGATAATTATTGGCTACTTATAAATATGTTCTTATTGTTCTTAGGTCGTATTTGCCATGCCGTACGACAATCCGATTCCTGGATATAACAACAATGTAGTTAACACATTACGCCTTTGGTCTGCAAAGAGTCCTACCGATTTCAATCTAAAATTCTGTAAGTAACTTGCAAAGTTTCAATAATGATCATTGGTATTATGAGGGTTGAAAAAGTAAAATAAAAGTGTAATTTACTTTTACAGTTAATTCTGGAGATTACATTCAAGCTGTCCTGGATCGCAATGTCGCTGAAAACATTTCAAGGGTGCTTTATCCTAATGATAATTTCTTTGAGGGTAAAGAGTTGCGACTTCGCCAGGAGTACTTCATGTGCGCCGCCACTCTTCAAGACCTAATCAGAAGATTCAAGTCGTCTAAATTTGGAAGCCGGGAAGCTGTCAGAACCACTTTCGAAACTCTTCCTGAGAAAGTCGCTATTCAACTCAACGACACACACCCTGCACTAGCCATTCCAGAATTGTTGAGAATTCTCATCGACGTCGAGAACGTGCCCTATGAAGAAGCATGGCAGATGGTTGTGAAATGTTGTGCTTACACTAACCACACAGTTCTACCTGAAGCATTGGAGAGATGGCCTTGCTCCATGTTGGAGAACGTACTGCCGAGGCATATGCAATTGATTTACCACATCAACTTTTTGCATCTTCAGGAGGTCGAAAAACGTTGGCCCGGTGATATGGAACGCAAGCGTCATATGTCACTGATCGAGGAGGATGGCGAGAAGCGTGTGAATATGGCCAACCTCTGCATTGTTGGCTCTCACGCTGTCAACGGTGTGGCAGCTATTCACTCTGATATCATTAAAAACACTGTCTTCCGTGACTTTTATGAAATGTGGCCTGAGAAGTTCCAGAACAAAACTAACGGTATAACTCCTCGCCGCTGGCTTTTGCTTTGCAATCCAGGTCTGTCGGATCTGATTTCTGACAAAATTGGTGAGGAATGGACTGTCCATTTGGAACAGTTGCAAGGTTTGAAGCGCTGGGCTAAAGACCCTGCCTTCCAACGCGCCGTTATGAAAGTGAAACAGGAGAATAAATTGCGCTTGGCTTCCCTCATTGAGCGCGACACTGGAGTTAAGATCAATCCAGCATCGATGTTTGACATTCAAGTGAAGCGAATTCACGAATACAAACGTCAATTGCTGAATATTCTTCATGTTATCACATTGTACAACAGAATTAAGCGAGATCCCACTGCACCGATCACGCCACGAACAGTCATGATTGGTGGAAAAGCTGCTCCAGGATACTACATTGCTAAGCAGATTATTGCCCTGGCGTGTGCTGTTGGCAATACCGTAAGTCTATTTAGTGCTACCTTAGTAGGTATTTCATTTTGATTGATCATCGTATGGGTATCGTGATTTTTATCATTTCAGATTAACAATGACCCCGATGTCGGAGATAAATTGAAGCTTATATTCTTAGAAAACTACCGCGTCACTTTGGCAGAGAGAATCATGCCCGCTGCTGATCTGAGCGAGCAGGTATAACCAGGACATCCTTAAATTGCCCGTCTTCTATTATATCATTACTTTTTCGTAGTCATCAATCTAGCCTGTACTTTTTTATAGATTTCTACTGCAGGCACTGAGGCATCCGGTACTGGAAACATGAAATTCATGTTAAACGGAGCTTTGACAATCGGTACTATGGACGGAGCCAACGTCGAGATGGCTGAAGAAGCCGGCGAGGAAAATTTGTTCATCTTCGGCATGAGAGTTGATGATGTAGAAGATCTGAAGCGTCGTGGGTGAGTTTCGATAAGCATTTTGGCACTTGAGTGAATATTGAAAAACAATTAAGATATTAATTATTGTGTTGTTTTTATATACTCGAGGAAAATAAATGCTACCTAAATTTTAAAAATAATTAAAACGGCTATCAATGAGTTAATTGTAAACAGAATGTTAATTATGTATTTATTACCTATAGGCATCTCGTAAACAGAAGTAAATCTTCTGAAATATTACGCAATAAATAATAGCGATTGTTAGGACGATTTCCAAAAATATTTAAAGTCGTTTTTTGATATTTGTTTTTTTTTCTGAATAATTGTTAATTCCTAAATAAAGCAATGACATTGGGTCATTTTTTACTAAATACATTTTAACGCTTTAATGAATTTGCTTTACTCAAGTAGGATGGAATTGAAAAAAATAAACCAAAAAATCAACAAATTAAGATATATTAATAAAAAACCTTACACTTATTTAGATATATTCCTGGCGAGTACATTTGCTTTTAGACGAGCATTCAATTGGTTATATTGACATTGATTTAGGAGCTCTTGTAAACTAGCCAATCACGTGTATTTGCCGCAACATTCTGTTAACTTTTTTATTAGACTATGAGCAGTTTACAAGTGTATCGAGTGATATAAATTATTTTCGTCTACTCTATAGCATATATTATGTGTAAAAAAAAACCTATTGTGATTTATTCAGATAGTTAATTACATTGCATAAACAATGTGTATTGGGATCACATCTTTGCTTTCAACTTTGTTATGCGTCAAGGAGGTACATGATGGGGCAGAGTTTATGGAGAAAAAAAATATCCTTTAGTAACAGATACTTTTTCACCCTCTATGAGGCAAAATAGGGAATGAAAGTTTGTATGAAACATATATCTATATCGATAGTAAATGAACTTAATATGGTTAGCGACAAAAGTTAACAATTGGCACCACTAACGGAAAATTCCTGAATTAACTTTTCTTGCACTATTGATTTAAAATTTGGTGTACGTAACATAATGTGACAAGAAATTAATCAAGAATAATAAAACAAAAGAAAAGATTACTAGAAAAAATCCACGAGGACCAGGCAGCAGACGGGACTCGAAACCGCACCCTTCGCTATCCGGGCGAATGCATTGACCATTATGCTACCGCGGCCCTGACGGCCGTGTCGAATTTTGTTCGAGTCCCGTCTGCTGCCTGGTTCACGTGGATTTTTTTCTAGTAATCTTTTGTTTTGATTTAAACATCTAGCAGTTAAATGCTTAAAAAAATAAAAACATAGATAATAAAACAATTCAATTGCTTCAACGAAAGCCGGAAAATGTGTCGTAATTCGTAAACGTCACAGTAGGAGAATAATCTTTTACTATATTGATTCGTGCAGACTTCGCAGCTTCGTTGTTATTTAAACACTGAATTATAATTATTTCTACCTTTATAAAGTACCTATTTTATTTACAACTGTCTTACAAAATAACGTTCGAAATTGTTTTTTTTTTATGTATTCGATACAGTAAAAATTTGCACTTTCATTGTTTTTGTTGAAATCGCTCAATGATGATTATAATCATTATTTGATTGACTTCCGTTAATGTACGTCCATATGCGTCCTCTAAACACGTAGACATAACGATCCTTTCTATATCCAGTGGGTTTCCTCGATTCACTTGATGTCGTCAGTTTACCTAGTGAGGCCTCTACCCACATTGCTCTTCCGGATGCAAGGTCTATTGAAGCTCCTACGAACTATGTGGTCCGTCCATTGCCGCCTAGTGCCACTTCACATAGGCAACCCGTTGAGGTGATTGACTTATGTTGGTAACTATAGTTCTTCTACGGATTTACTTATTTCCAATTCGATCACGTAGAGAAACGCCGAGCAAAGCTCTCTGCATCATCCGCTTGATGGCTCTGAGCCTTCTTATGAGGCTCACAGTCAGCGACGACATCTCAAAGCCGTATGTCATCACTGGCAACACGCAACCTCCTACCTACACTTCACTTAATGTGAAGTTCGTCATTATGATGTGACTAAATTGTAAAGTTCCAGTTATACTACCTATGTGATGGCCGTCTACCTCAACGGCTTTCTAGCTTGTTGTTCATCTTAATAAAATTTACAGCGACTTCCCTGAATTTTAGATGGTCGAAGTGGCCTTCTTTACCTCCTTACCCTTTAAAATTAGGTCTCCTACACACATCAAAAGTGTCTAGGGATCAACATATATTTTTGCAATAACTTTTCTCCTGATTGATATTAATTAAAATTTTCTTTAAGGATTCATCAAATAAAGTGTTTTCGTTTGTCACAGTAACGATAAACCAAGTCACCTTTGCATTAATAAAGAAATTTGCCATTTTCCTAATAAAGGGATTTTTGACATTTGAACCACTAACACAAAAGTTCGAAAAAAAGACTGAAATAACAGTTTTCTCTAAAATTTTATTGGGTAACTTAAACAATTAATAATCCGTATTTCTACCGCGAACACTAACAACACAAGAACATCGGTTTGGCATACTCAAAATGAGTTCATCCAAATCACGCTGTGGAATGGCCGCCCATGTTAGTTGCAACAACAAAAAAAGGTCTTCTTGCGACTGGATACCCTCCATATTCGGCAGAGCTCTTCTCTGTAGCATATCCCATGCATGCTCAATCGGGTTCAAGTCTGGCGACCGAGCAGGCCAGGGCAGGACATTGATGTTAGCTGCGGCGAGAGTCTGTCTTACAACTCTTGCGGTGTGCGGTCGTGCATTATCATGCATTAACTGAAATAAGGGACCGATTTGCACTTGTAGAGGAACGATGACGTCTGATACAATCGTCTCAGCATAAATTTGAGCGTTGAGGTTGCCTCTGATCCAAATCAACTCAGTTCTTCCGCCGATCCAAATACCCGCCCATACCATGATGGTTCCACCACTATAAGGATGGACTTCCTGGCAGGATTTTAATCGCTGTTGGCGTCCAGGGGTTCTCCAGTGTCGTATACGTCTTGTATCCGGTCTCATACCAAAACGAGACTCATCAGAAAAGCACACGAAACGCCATTGTTCTTCTGCCCAATTTCTGTGTTCAAGAGCCCATTGATATCGAATCCTACGATTGTGCATTGCTATAGGTGGTACCCGTAGCGGTCTTCGGGAATGAAGGTTCACTTCATGCAAGCGGTTTCTGACTGTTTGGTCGCTAATTAAGTTCCCTGAAGAGTGATGAAGCCTCACGGCTAACATCATGGCGGTTATTGTTGGAGCTCTTCGAGTTAAGATTTGAATGTATCGGTCTTGTCTCCGTGTGGTGCAGCGATACCGTCCTCCATGGCGCTCAGCCACGGTACCAGTGCTTCGGTATCGTGTCCAAAGTCGACTGATAACACTCTGACTTGTATTCAGAGCTAAAGCCACAGTACGTTGCCGGGAACCAGCTTCTATCATTCCCACGGCTCTGAGCATTTCTTCCCTGCTTAAATGACGTCGCCGCTCCATAATAACGTTGGTTTTAATCAGTAGTAGGGAAACAGTAGCACTAATAATGTCTTCAATGCGTTGTATGTTTTTATAGGGAAAATATTGACAGCTGATTTTCATCTTTTACTCGAATTTGATTCACAGTTCCTGATTCAAATTATGAAATGCACCAAAAAGGATCCATATAAATTTATAAAATCATAAATTTATTACAAAGCCACATCTCAATCTCAAGAAATCCGCATAAAAATGCTTGATCCCTAGACACTTTTGATGTGTGTATTAACGAAAAAAAACTTTGTATTGCACTAAAGCACAGCACACAGTACTTGCCAGGGAGATGTTGAAATTTGGTAACACGATTTTCCAGTGGCTTATGTGAGTTATGGAGAGAAGAAATTCCATGTTATCATTTTACTTAAATTCCTCAACTGTTTTCATTTTGAAAGTGAATGAAAAAATAAAATGAAGTCACCTATAGAAAATTTAACTTATTTCATATATTCGCTAAGAACCAGTTTATTATTTTATTATATTACTTCTAATTAAAAACACATTAAAACAAAAGTTAAAATTACCATGAATAATCCACTGAAATAATCCGTAATTTCAATCTTAATTAGCTCTAGTGAAATTATGACAGCACACTCTAATCATTTTGTAATAAATAACTGACAAAGGTCTTTAAGAGTCAATCACAATAAACAAAACAAAGATTGTGAGACCACTAGGGGTATTCTCACAAGTTTTTGTTATTTTACATATTAGAGTTTTTATATTTTTTTATTGTTGGTGATGGTGTGTCGTTTAAGACACAGTAGGAGAAATTAAGTTAAATACTGCTGCTCTGAGGAATGCGCTAGTGATCGGAAACAGCTCGACTCGAAACACTGCATGAATGCGAGGTGCCGGAGCCCCAACCTCATGCACCAATCAGAACGCGCGCGTACTGTACGTTAAACATCCAGCATCGCGGTAATGAACGACATTTCCCGTTAGTGTGGCCCCAGTATTAGATGAAAATGAGGATGACTGTCAGTATGAAAGTTCGTAAATTAGTTTATCTACACCCATGCTTTAAAACCTCTATTAAAGATTCTGAAACAGTTATCTTAATGCGAACATTAAAACATCCAATGTCATAATTTAAACAAAATATATAACACCCATAACAATACCCAAAGCGGTGTTATAACGTTGTACTAAATTTTATAATAACACTCCTTCGCTTTTTAATCCGTTCCGCGCCAAGGGCTTACTCATCAGCCAGCCACAATTTTCACGGCTCGATGCGTGGTATTATGAATTAAAAAAAAAGAACAATGTCATTCACTTGCGTTTTACCGAACAGCGAGCGAAGGCCCCAATTTCTTGGGAACCTCTTGCCAACAATAATCCCAATTTCTTGCCAACGCGTCACAGGATTTCATCATTTGTAACCATTTTTTTTTATTTTTGTGTGCTTCACTATCAGAGCGGCGAATTTTTCATTCTTTGATCGACCCATGGTTTCAGATTCTTTTATAGAGGATACATAT